TGACTTTTCAATGGAGACTCTAAAAGGCAGAAGGGCCTGAACAGATGTTCTACAAACTCTAAGAGATCACAGATATGAGCCCAGATTACTATACCCACCAAAACAATCACAATAGATGAAGAAAGACATTCTAGGATTAAACAAAATTTAATACATATGTATCTGTAAATTCCAGTCCTACAGAAGGCACTAGAATGCCATCCTGAAGAGCCAAAAAACATAGACCAGAAGAATCAAAAGAGGGATAAAAGCCCACCATCACAACAAAAAATATCAGAATCAACAATCACTGCTCATTCACAATTCTCCTCGACAATAACCTCAATTCCCCAATAAAAAGATACAGACTAATGGACTGGATTCTAAAACAGAATCCATTTTTCTGCTGTATCTAAAACCCATTCCTGAAGATCGAGGATAGACATCATGCAAGAATAAAAAGAACAGTGAAAGATAGTCCAAGCAAATGTACCCAAGAAACAAGCCAGTCATTTTAACATCTGAAAAGCTAAATTTCAAACCAAAATTTTTCAGAAGAGATAGTAAAGGATAATATATCATCATCAAAGAAAAAAACCTACCAAGTGGACACTGAAATTCTTAACATATATACACCAAACACAAGGGCACCCAAGTTCACAAAAGAAACATGACTACAGCTTAATTCACTTATTGACCCTCACACACTGACAGTGTTGATTTCAGTGCCCCACTCTCACCAATAATTTGATCATCCAGACAGAAACTAAAATGAGAAATGATGGAGCTAAATGACATCATTAATCAAATATTTAAAGATATTTATAGAACATTTCACCCACAGACAAAAGAATATATCTTCTTAACATCTAATAGAATTTTCTCCAAAACTGATCATATACTTGGACACAAAGCAAGTATCCACAGATACAAGATAACTGAAATAATACCTTGCATCCTATATGACCACCATGAATTAAAGCTGGTTATCACTGACAACAGAAGCAATAGAAACCTTACAAATTTCATGGAAACTGAAAAACTACCATTTGAATGAAATAATGGGTCTAGAAAGAAATTAAAAACATTTTAGAATTAAATGAAGATGAAAATACAATATACCCAAACTTGTATACCACAATGAAAATGGTTCTAAGAGGCAAATTCATAGCAATAAATACCTACATTAAAAAAATGGACAGATTTTATATTAGTAACTTAATAGCATAAATGAAAGCTCTCAACTAAAAAGAAGAAACAGCACCCAAAAGGAGAAGATGGCAATATATAATCAAACTCAGAGTTGAAATAAATAAAATAGGTGCTGGAGAGATGGCTCAGAGGTTAAGAGCACTGCCTGCTCTTCCAGAGGTCCTGAGTTCAATTCCTAGCAACCACATGGTGGCTCACAACTATCTGGCCTGTAGGGATACATGCAGACAGAACACTGTATATATAATTAATAAATAATTAAAAAAAGAAATAAATAAAATAGAAACAAACAGAAAATAATTACAAAGAATCAACAGAACAAAGAATTGTTTCTTTGAGAAGATCAGATAAGATTAACAAGCCCTTAGCCAATTAATTAAAAACAAGTGAAAGAAGACACCAATTAACAATGGCCCCGTGCACAGTAGTAGATGGCCAACACAAAACAAACACATGACATTTCTGGAGGTACTCAGTTTCACAATGTTTTGTCAGGACACTTTTTTTTTTTTTTTTTTTTTTTTTTAACTTTATAGATCTTTTGGGTAAATGTGTTTTCTGTTTTTATGGAATTACTGTATGTTGATTGTGTCTACATTTACACATTTTTCTTGTGATTTTTTTTGTTTTATTTAGCTCTTTTTCTTGCTTTTTCTCCATTTCTATTTGTTTGTTTTTGTTTTATCTTATCTATTGTTATTCTTTAGGTAGCTTAAGATAGAGAGGTGTGTATATTAGAAGGAAGGTAATTGGGAAGGAATTTGGTGGAGTTGGAGGAGGGGAAACTGTAATCAGAATATATTGTAAAAAAACTATTTTAAATAACAGAAAGAGTATCTAGTTATTTTTATATTTATATCTAATGCTCCAACCTGAGGCTGACTGTGGGTTTCCTTGAAGGTAAGAACTTTAATAGTCCTTTTAGTTGGTAAAATTTATTAGAATTTATTTTTTCTTATTTTATGATTTATGAATTAGCTGCTCAACTTTTTAATAATATACATAGCCTTCAAAGATACAAAGAAATCTACTTAAATTATAATTATTTCATTCTATTATCAGAAAGCATAATAGCTACATTAGACTTTATGTAATAAAAATTTGCTTAAAATTTGCTGGATGTGTTGTCATACGCCTTTAATGCCAGCAATTGAGAGTCAGAAGCAGGCAGATTTCTGTGGTTCAAGGCCAGGGCTATATATGAGACCCTGTCTCAAAACAGATAATTTTTGATGAATTATTGAATAGGCCTATTTCCCTATTTCATCAGCACCTCACCATAGACCTCATTGGTATTATAAGAGTGAGTGAAATGACTGTCAACCAAGGCAGAAAGAGAAATAAAGGCCCTTCTAACAGATATGGACATGGCACAAGGTAAGTTCTCCAAAGACAAGACTCACAGGACTCTCACTTTCCTGTTAACCCTGCAGTATGAGCAAATGGCATGCTGTTGTCCCTCTGTCTTCATCACAATTTCCACTTGCTCCCTGGCTACAACAGAGATCAGGCTTCTGCAGCCTGGTGGATGACAATGCTAACTTGGTAGGTTTGGTATCTTCTTCAGAATCTCTAGGACAAGATAGGGGTGGGTATCTTTTGTTTTGTTTCTCTAGTATTGGAGGTAGAGCCCAGATCCTCACACATGTACTCAAATGAACTATGCCTCTAGTTCCAAGTTCTTTTGCCTTCCTCCTAAAGGTCTTGTACTTGTTCTTTTTCCTGTCAGGCAAGCAAAGCCCTGCCCTTTGCCCTGATGCTAACTCTGTCTGTGGTTCTGAACTCATTGCTTCCCACCAATATATGCCATGCCGTTTTCTTTTCCTTCCTTCCTTCCTTCCTTCCTTCCTTCCTTCCTTCCTTCCTTCCTTCCTTCCTCCTTCCCTCCCTCCCTCCCTTTCCCACTCCCTATCTCTTCCAAGACAGGGCCTCAATATGTAGCCCTGGCTGACTCGAGTCTCATAATGTATATCAGGCTGGCCTCTAACTCACAGAAATCTTCCTGCCTCTGACTCCTGAATGCTGGAATTAAAGGCACCAGTCACCAAGCTGAGCAGTTATGTTGTTTTTCATTGCTATGTGTTTTCTCTCCCCTTTATTTCACTCCTTTTAATATTCACAATACATTTAGTAGAACCTCCATTTAAATAAACAAAATGACAACAAAAACTTCCATGTGATCCTGTCTCTTTTCTGCAAAATTCCTGGTTATAGTCTATTTCACATTTTAATTATTGTGTGTGCATGCAAATGCCATTGCACCCATGGGGAGATCAAAGGATAACCTCCTGGAGTTAGTTCTTATGATAGAACTCAGGTGATTTCCTGTTAATCCATACCTCACCTAGCCCTTTCTCACTATCTGAGAAAACAAAAAACAAAACAAAACAAAAACTTGCCAAAAGGGGTCCATTGGCCTTGGACAAGCATAAGTACAATGAGAGATGGTCTGAACATCCAGGCAGGGCAGAGTGCATGGCATGTAGCAGGTAGGCATTAAGTGAACATGATTGCAGACAGATTGAAGGAGGATCATGCCCACCTCCTCTTACCCACCTTGCCCTCTTGATTCCTTTGAGGTATTTTTCTCCTAGTGGGGGGTGGGGGGTGGGGAGTGGGGGGTGGGGGTGGGTGTACTGTATTGAGCTCCACACCATCTGTGGAATGAGCAAAAGTGCAGGGACAGTGACAGATTGCAGATAGGTTGGGAACCAAGACCCGTCCTCCACAGAGAGATGACCTCAGGTACTCAGCCTGGTCCAGGTCCCTTCTGCATAAAGGGAGATCTCCGCATTAGCTGAGAACATCGCCTTCTTAGAGCCTTGGTGCTAGGCTGGCTTGCCCTTGTGGCCTTTGTCCTCAGAATTTAATCATTTACATAATGTATTAGCACAGAACTCCAGGCGGGCCTGGGCACTCAGAACCCAGTCCAGTAGAGCCAAGGACTCAGGCACTGCCTCATTGGCAGCTCCCACACCCTCTGCTCTCGACTGTGCCGGGTGTTTTGCTGCTAGCTGGCAGACCAGGACTTCAGTGCCATTTCCCAGTGTTCAGCTTTCCTTACCCTCCCCAGCGCTGTTGCGCTTTATCAAAAGGCAACAGTTGGATGAGTGACGAGAACCTGGGACCCTGACATCAAGGAAACTTGGCATGCCTTCTGTTTGCTAGAGGACGTTGGGGTTTCTTGATGACGGTTGGAAGGCGCGCGCTCAACGGGCACTGGAGCCTTGGAGCGTCAAGAGCAGTAGTGTTCTAAGCATTCGCGCTGGGGGATGGACGCACAGCGAGCAATTCCATATTTCAGCGTGCTGAGTGCACCTGGACTCTGTGTGTAAAACGACAGGGATCAGTTTTGGTAGTACCGGCAGGCATTCGTGGCGCAGGCACTTTGGAGATTACTAATTCCTTAGTGGACGCGGTACCAATAGCCTCTAGAGCAAGTCTCACCCAGAAATCTTAACGAGGTCACTTCTCATAGCAAAAGTTCCAGAAAGGCGCTCCATTCGCGACAGGTGCAGGACATTTCGCGCGACCACGCCTCAGGTCTCTCTTCTACGTGGACTGTTTAAAGGTCTCGAGTGAGGCAGAGTCCTCGAGGAGGAGAAGAGTCAGGGTGCAGAACGCCCGCCCTTGTTCTCTGGCCTGTGACAGCATTCGGCCCGCCCTCTTCACCTCTATAAGAACCGCAGAGAAGAGCGCAATCGGAGCACCGCCCCCAGGCTCGCTACTTTTCTGGTTCTTCAAGGACCAGTATCACTGTCTTCCCCTGCTGCCTGACGCTCATTCCTCCTCTTCTCAGCCACCAAGCACAGGCTGACTGAGCCAGGCTCTTGGCTTCTCTGGTGCCCTATTGCTCTAGCGACCCTAGGCAGTCTCCCGCAGTGCTGATCGGCAGGTGAGCAGCGCTGCAGCGCCACTGTTCGGCGAGCTCACCTTGCACTGCCCTGCAGCCAGGGCAAAACTCTGTCTCTGCAGGATGAAGAACCCGATGCTGGAAGTGGTGTCCCTCCTCCTGGAGAAGCTGCTCCTCATCTCCAACTTTAAGTTCTTTAGCGTGAGCGCTCCTGGAGGAGGCACAGGGAAGAACCGTCCCTATGAAATCAGCTCTTTTCTCCGGGGCGATGTGTTGGAGGTGTCAAGGACCCATTTTACCCATTATGGGATCTACCTGGGGAACAACCGCGTGGCTCATCTAATGCCCGACATCCTGTTGGCCCTGACCAACGACAAAGGACGTACTCAGAAGGTGGTCTCCAACAAGCGTCTCATCCCGGGAGTAATTTGCAAGGTGGCCAGCATCCGTGTGGACACAGTAGAGGACTTTGCCTATGGAGCAGACATCCTTGTCAATCACCTAGATGAGACTCTCAAGAAGAAATCCTTGCTTAATGAGGAGGTGGCATGCAGGGCTGAGCAACAATTGGGGATGACCCCCTACAGCCTACTGTGGAACAACTGCGAACACTTTGCTACCTACTGCAGATATGGAGCTCCAATCAGTCCACAGGCTGAGAAGGTAAGAGGAGAGAGACTTGCAGGAGCTGGGGTCCGGAGCTGGAATCTTTTTTGACATCTCCCCAACCATACCATTCTTAGGAGCTCTAGAATAGGTCCAGTGTTTCTACGGGATATCTGGTAAACAAACGTGTACTTGTGGTGCAGGAGGGATATCTCAAAATGTGCAGTAAAAAGGTGTGGCCACACAGAATGCTTCAGTGATTCCAAAGTGCTGCCTGTTTCTGCTGCACAAGTTGTGTTGGTGTAAACTCACGAGGTAGTTCAAATGATCAGGGGTAAGGGACTGAAGGACTTAGTACTTTCTCCAAGAGGTGCAACTGGCAGGGAGATGTTCAGTTTTCTCCTCTTGTTAGATGCATAAATGAGCTTAATAGGCTCAAAATTCCTGGTAGGAGGACATTCCTGCTAGACACCCTTTGTTTTTGGGTTTGATTCAGAGTGTTTTTCCTTGGTGTTGCCACTTCTTCCTAGGTGACTTTAACCCCACTTCATGCCCTCATTCATTGTTAAACATCTCCTAGTTATCAACCCTGAAGGTAGGCTGGATTTTAAATTCCCCAGAGATTAAAACAAATCATTTTCATCATCCTTACATTTTGGAAGGTAATTTTATGGGTACTGTAGAAAAAAATTCAAACAAACAAGTATTCTAAAATGATTGTTAAATGAGCTACAAATCCAAAGAAGCATTTCCCAAAGAAACCACTCAACTCACAAATGATACTTTGTTTTTAATTCTGCACATTCCTTAGCAATTGGATTTTCAGCCTTGACTATCATTATTAAGGGGGGCATTTACATTTGCTTTTCATAATGGAATCCTAGGTAATCACACAATAAGCTTTGCTGTTATTTTCATGTTTAGATACTTTTTTTTGAGTCGCTACACTCTACAGCCTAGATTTAACTATATCTTGAGTAATTTCTGACACAACAGATAATGAAGCTATCATGCTTTTATATGTTGGCATATTAAATTTCTTTTAGATTTTAATTGAACCAGACTTATTCTAGCAATTCTTTTCTATGGTAAATTAAAAATGCAACTAGACTATTCTGCAATTATTCATGCCTCTCCCCTAGTCCAGGCCTGTTTAGAAGTAAACTTCCCAATATATACAAATGCTGGCTCCAGAAGTGTACCAAAAAAGGCGACATGTCAGACTTAGTTAAGATGCAAGCCAATCATTCCCATAAGTAAAAACAGTTTTCCTATCTAAACAGTTGCCCTTTCATAGAACACATGTGTGTAGCACTGTTATATATTTCTACAGAAAAAGAGATCTAAATGCTTTCTACAAGTAGTAAAACATTGCTCACATAAAGAACTTGTTTCTCTAATAAAGAACTTTTCTCTAATAAACAAGTTTAAAATGAACTAAAAGAGAACCTTGACATCTTTGTGAGAACACTTTTTTTTTTACATTTATTGACAATTCCATAGATATGTAGAATGCATTTTGATCACACACCTCCTCGCCCCCATATTCCAGCTAACCAATGTCTACTGTACAAGTTCCCCTCCCCCTACTTTCATGACTTTTTATGTGTGAGACTCAAGGAATTTAGTATCTTGTTCTAGTGCTGGGAAGAGACTCACCATGCCCACAGTGACTCTAACAAAGGTTGCTTATAGTTTTAGAGGTTAGTCTGCTACTATTGCAGTGGAGAGCATGGTGGCTTTCAGGCAGACATGTTGCTGGAGAAGGAGGTGAGTGTTCTACATCCAGATCTGCAGGTATCAGGAAGAGAGAGCCACTGGGTCTGGCTTGGGCTTTTGAAAGGAAGCTCAAAGCCCACCCTCAGAGGCACACTTCCTCTAAGGCCACACCCCCTATTCTTTGTCAGGTAGTGGCACTCCCTGACAACTAAGCATTCAAGTATATGTGCCAATGAGGGGCATTCTTATTCAAACCACCCCAACAGTTAGGGTTGTTTGTATGAGCATGGGTTGGAGGTTATTTATTGGAGTATGTGCAACTAACCAGTGAAAAATCAACTAACTCCCTCTCCTTCAGTACCCATTCACTTGCCAGTGTCTCCTCTAAAAGAAGAAAGCCCTCCCAAGGGCTCCCTGTAGGACTGGCCATTATATCAGGCAGGAATGGTGTCCTTGCTCAGTGGAAGCAGTCCCTGTGTCCCTGTGCAGGAAAGCACAGCTGCCCTGAATTCATGGCTATGCTGTGGCCAGGAGGCAGCATTTCAGGTACTCTCCTCATCCTCCAGCTCTTAGATTCTTCCTACTCCCCCTTTCCATTATTGATTTTATAAAGGCTTAGAAATCATAAAATCAAGGTATTTTATACTTATATTGAGCATAAGTATATTGTAAAATTTAAGTACCTCTGTTTTTAACTTTTATTATTTCTTATACCTTTTCTACTATGAATCTTTGACTTATTGCCAGGATGAATACAAATGCCTCTCTTTTCAAGTGTCTCCGTGATCATAAAAGTAAACTTAATACCTTTTATATATTTCCTACACACACACTCTCTCTCTCTCTTTTTTTTTTTTTTTTTTTTTTTTTTTTTTTTTTTTTGAGACAGGGTCTCATGTAGCTCATGTAGCTAAGGCTGATCTCAGGCTGACAAATCTAGCTGAGGATGACCTTGAACTTCTTCTCATCTTCTGATCCTCAAATTTTTACCTCCCACAGGCATGCCTCATCACATCCAATCACCAAATGTAAAGAGTTCTGAGGACCAAACCCAGGGTTTCCTGCATTCTAGGCAATCACCCATCTGAGTTAGATTTCTAGCCTTAGAAAATTTTTCCTTTCTGGAAATGCTTCCTGGGCTGATGGCCAAATGGATAGAGAGTAGGGAAGGAAGAGTAGAGAGAGACAGAAGAAAAGAAATGGAGAGAAGGAAAGAAGAAGTGAGGAAGGGAGGGAAGGAGACAGATGGAGAGACATGCAGAGAGAGACAGAGACACATACACACAGAGAGAGAAAGAGGCAGAGACCAGAGACACATGTGCCTCTAAGAAAGAAATGGTTTGTGCCTAGGCTGGTGTGTAATTCTAGGCAGGTAATAATGAACTTGAACTTCTGATATCAGTACCTGTACCACCCAAGTGCCAGGATTATAGGCATGTATCATCACACTTCATTTTTGTGATGCTGGGATTTAAACCTATAGCTTCACGCATTATAAGCAAGTGTTCTACTAACTGAGCCACACTCTCAGGTCCTTATTCAGTTTGATTTTTAACCCCTTTAAGACAAAGCACTCATTACTCTATCTTGTTAGTGTAGTAGAAAGAGATACATTAGATGTTTGTCCTATAAATAATATATGGATGGCTAATAGGATATTGGCTATTTCTTTAGATAGTATGTAAAATTGTGACTAGAGATGGCCTTACATTCACACTGTGAACTAAAACACACAGACAAGCCTGGCTGATTCTTACATGTAACACTAGGTTATGCACTTGCACACAAACTATAATTACACCAGTAATGGAATTCTACAGGACTACTGCCATATACATGGTTGGTACTCAACTGAGAAGTCCTTATGAGTTCCTTGACTGTATTAAACTTGTTTATTGTATTCATTAATAACTTAGAAGTTATGTCAGGCACAATGGTGCACTTTTGACCTCACCATTCTAGCTAGGGAGAGGCAGGAGAATCTATGTAGTTCAAGGTCAGCCTGTTCTACATAGTAAGTCCCAGGCAACCAGAACATATTGAAACTCTGTTTCATAGCAAGGAAAAAAGGAATAAAAACTAGAGCTGGAGAGATGGTTCAGAAGTTAAGAGTTCATACTGTTCTTGCAGAGGACCCAAGTTTGGTTCTCAGCACCCACAACTGCCTATAACTCTAGCTCTGTGTAGGGGTGAATTTCTGATACACACACACACACACACATACACACACACACACACACACAGAGAGAATTAAAAATAATAAAAATAAATATTAGAAAGTAAGGGTTTTAGAAACCTTCCCAGCTTCAGGAGTTCTGGGTCAACTTGAACTATACAGCAAAATTTATCTCATATACAATGCCATATTCTAGAAAAGGATCCCAAAACTAGTATGAATAGCAAAACTCACATGAAAATGACAGTTGTTACATCCTAGCAATGACAATGGTAAAAAGATAACTGTCAACACATATATCAGTGGTAATAATCATTGTAATAACTTTCATTTATGTACATAGATGAATAGTAGCTATCCTTTTACATGAATGATTTCATTTATCCTCACGGGTACCCTGGTATTCACATGAAGAAGGAAGTCTAGACTGCTTGAACGTGTTTTTTTGTTTGTTTATTATAACAGGGCTCTCTGGCTATCCTGGAGCTCACTTTGTAGAATAGGTGGGCCTCGAACTCACAGAGATCCTAAACGTCTTAACTGATGTCCCAGATCAAATAAGACAGAGACAGAACACCATTTCCAAGTTAAAAAAAAATTTCCATGAAAAAAATGATATGTTAGAATGCATCCATTGGGAGTGGTGACCATATTTCATGCCTTTATTTTCAGGAACCAATTATGTGTCACATAACCAATAATGAATTTAGCTAGGAAGAGGATATGACAACCCAGTGTGACGGACTCTATGCCTTTAGACTGATATAACTGGTATAAAATTTTAGGGTAGTGAAGTAGAAGAACTGCCTAATTCTTTTTTAAACTCAAGGTTAGAAACTTCCTTCTTAGAATGGTTTTAGAATGTGTTAATTAGTATTAAGTAATTTAACGTTGTCTTTAACCTTTCATGCTGGGTAACTTTTATGTGGCTCATTCTATAGTCTTTTGTAACACTCTGTATATCATTTCATAGGTCACTGGGAACATAAGCATTCCCGGTAGAAACAAAACAACTGGAAAGCCTACTTAGTCTATGGTGTAAGTGCTTCCTTTTAGCCATGGTTCCTAATATTCTTAACTTTTGTTTTCCAGTTTCATGAGACAGTGAAGATAATCATTCGTGATCAGAGAAGTTGTCTTGCTTCAGCTGTCTTGGGATTAGTGTCCATTGTCTACACAGGCCTGGCATCATATATGACCCTTCCTGCAATCTGCATCCCATTCTGCTTGTGGATGATGTCTGGCTAGCTTCCAATCCCAATATGGATGTATTTTGTTTGGGACTATGTTTGTATTTATAGAACACAAAACTTCAAAAGCTTGTTGAGAAAATGGGGCCTTCAACACTGTGTTCTAGATTTTAAGAAAAGTGATTAAGAATTGTACAAAGTGCTTACCATGTAAGCCAGAACGAAGCCTTTCCGTATCCTCTCGGGCAGTTCTGCCACAGAGCACCATGAGCCCCCAGAAGCACCACAGCCTGTCAGGACTCAGCAGCCAGAAAAGCAGACCCTGAGGTGACAGCCACAGGAGATTATTTGGGTTATTCTTGCCTTCCTGTAATCATATACTGCTGTTAGGCTCATCAACTGAGACCACTAACTTTACTGTAAATGTATTCTGCTTATTGAATGACTGACATTAAAGGGAACATTTTCCCTCATTTAAATGAATATATTTGATAATTAGCCAAAAAAGAAACCAAATCTCACATTCTGTTTTGCCTTTGTTTATTTAATATTATAATTTCAAGTCAGCCAAGAATAGTATTTTCATGTTCTAAGATCAGTGTTGACAGAGTTTACTGAATGAAAGTAATTGGCCAGGAAGCATAGAAATGTTTTCTCCTGCAGAAACAGTGGCAATAGCTATTTATATTGACTTTTGAATAATCTCTGATATTGTGTTTTCCTTCTTTTCTTTTCATATGCCTGCATGACTACTTTAAAAAAGGTAAATGGATATAAGATTGAAGTAATTTCAGTATTTGGTGTACATACATACTAAATAAATACACCAATGTCTGCATACACATAGATTGATAGGCAAACTTATTTCTTGTTACTTTATTATACTAGTATGATTATTAATGAGGATCTACAAAGGTGAACATAAAATAAAATCTGATTTTTTCCTATGTCCTTAAATCTGTATTTATGTCATTGGTTAGCTATTTTTTAAAGCTAAATTTACTAGTGTCTTTAAAAATTACCTCAGATTTTTTTTTACTATCAATTTTCAAATTTAAGTGTAGTTTATGAACTTATTAGAGGTGTATCAGAGCAGTATATAAAGCCTAAATAAGAAGAGACAAAGGAAATTACTCTTTGAAAAAATTAACAATTCCAACCAAGAAAGGTGATTTTACTGAATCCACTGGATCAGTAAACATAGCAGTGTTAAAAACATGCCTTCAAGACTTTAGCCAATTCACTAAAAATTATAGCACAGGTTGGAGTTGCATTTCAGGTACTGGAACTGTTTTGTCAGAGGTGGTCTATAATACCTGCACATAGAAGGCTGAAGCAGCAGATGGAGAGATCCAGGCCTGTGTAGGCTGGAGGACAATACTTTTCTGTTAAATGTCAAGCATTACAAAACAGACGCTGAAGAGATGACTCAGCTATTGCTGCTCTTTCAGAGGACCATGGTTCAGTTGCCAGCAAGCCCTGGGGGCTTCAAATCTGTAACTCCAATTCCTGAAGATACAACACTCTCTTCTGGTCTCCATGAGCACAGCACACACTTAGTAGACATACACACAAGCAAAGCACAAACACACAAAAAAATAAAGTTTTTAAAAAATGAATCACAAAATAGCCAAGCATACTGGCAAGTCTTTAATTCCAGCTCTTGGGATGTGGAGGCAGGAGGATTGGGAGTTTAAGACCAGCCTGTGACACAGGCAGGGGGTTTAAGACTTGCTTGCATCACACAGGGGGTTTCAAGACCAACTTGAACTACACAAGCAGTTTAAGGCCAATCTGGGTTATTTGAGACCCAATCTCAAACTAACAGCAAAGGAATCACAAAATGGTGATTCTTATGGAGAAAAGAGGGAACTGTTTTAGTCAGTGATCCAACTGGAACAAGATTCAAGAGCAGATCTTAGTTCAACTGAGGTTTTATTTCCCCGAGTTTTCCTTCAACAGATTCAGCTGGGGTATAATGATGATTACAACTTATGTTTAATATTCAAATTAAACAGTTAACTCCTTAACATGTTTTATATCATTAAAATATTACAGGGAAAGATCAAAGAATATAGTGTCCTATGGGCAAGTTGCAAACACTTGCACTACCTTAAGCATCTGTGCATGCTGACAGCCATTCACTATGTCTGTGCCATTTCCTTTCACTCCGGGAGTACTTGTTTAAGTGAACTCATTATGCACTTGTTTTCAGACATCAGATTGTAGTTAGCAGAAAATACTGTTTGACATTAAATCTGTATTCATACATGGGTTCCTCCTTACATACTATGGATGTTTTCTGGGCTGGAATTTACATAATTAATCTTGAGTCTCTTCAAATCGTTAGACCAAGAGTGAATTCACTGTTCATTGGATGTTCACTTTGTGCTAAGCACTGTGCTGCAACTTTGTGTACTAGTTTACTCCCTTTTTTTTTTTTCCAGACAGGATCTCACTCAGTAGACCACATTTGCCTCAAATTCAACTCATAGAGCTCTGTGGGCCTCTGCTTCCCAAGTACTGGGATTAAAGGTGTGCTGCACCACTCCTAGCCACTTTTTAGCCACCTGCAACAGCCTGTATATAGTGTGGTGAATATAGAGAAGAGTAAGTAAGTAATTCTGCCTCAAGAGTCTGGCATTTAATTGAAGGAGGCAATAACAAGTAGGAACCTGAGAGACTGAGAGGTTATTTTGTTACACTGACATCATCTGCTTTTGGCAAGAGATGGATTTGGTAAATGTTCTTCAGCACCAGAATTGCTGAACTTGTGGGTAAGAGGGACTCTTTTGCTGTTTCAGTTTGATTAGTTAACTAATGTCAGTTATCCTGAAGCAATAATTTCTTTCCTAACTGAAGTAGGCAGGTCATAAATTTCTCTGGACTTCATCATCAAGGCTCATCTTTATGATCCAAGTTCCTCATATCATATAGTATTTCTATTCTATCTTATACAATGATAGCCAAGTCATATCTGATGAACTTTTTCACCTCTTGTTTTGTTCTTTGCATAAATGAAAGCCAAATGGACTTACTGGATTTGAGATGAGCTAATGCAAGTGTCAGGGAGTAGGTTGTGTATGGAATGAAAAGACATGAAACATGGGCTAAAATATATGGCCCAATAGACATAGTTGCACTGAGTTGTCAGTGATTGGTATCTGAAAAGAGATAACTGAAGGCACATACAGAGAAGGAACTAATTGTAGCTGCTGAAACCAAAATCAGACAGTGGGTACTGAGACTTGAAAAATGAGACAGATTATGGACAGGACATTGCACACATGGATGGGAACAGCACGGGGAATGCATGGAAACTTCTTATAACATGCACCATGAATAGATATGAGGTATTCTATGTCAGGCAAACGAAAGTGATTTAGGGGCTATTAGGGCAAGGGTTGTGACTAGACACATACAGAAAACAATGCTGAGATAGTGTAAATCTTTTGTAGATTAAGAAGCTTTGACTTTATGGATAGGCAGTAGAGAACGAGTATAGAAAAGTAACTTCCAAGAATAAAGTAGAAGGATAGGGTGAGGATTGGATGAAAAGTTCTGAGAGGTTTTGCTAAGGTCTTTTGGAGTGCCAAGTAAGGGTCTAGGGCAGTGGTTCTCAACCTTCCAAATGTGACTCTTTAATACAGATCCTCATGTTGTGACCATAAAATTATTTTCATTGTTACTTCACAACAGTAATTTTGCTACTGTTATGAATTGTAATGTAAATATATCTGATATGTAGGATATTTCATATGTGACCCCTGTGAAAGCATTGCTTGACTGCCCTTCCCCACAAAGGGTCATGACTCATAGGTTGAGAACCACTGGTCTAGGTGGTGAGATGGCTCTGTAAAGTGTACCTTCTGTAAGGCCTGATGACCTGAGCTCAAATAAGAGTCTGTAGTTGCGAGGCTAGAAACTAAATGTGTCAAAGTAGTGCCAATCAACTTGACCCACACCCTTTGACTTGACTGATGAACAACTCTTAATGGAGTTGTTCTTTGCTTTTCCTAAGAAAGAGCTGATTCCTACAAATAAATTAATTTGGCATACATACATACATACATACATACATACATACATACATATATATGTTGGATACTCCTGTTTTGCTAAGCATGCTCATTTTTAAGGAAAAAGAAGGAAGCATGGGTTGATTGTTTTAATTTTTGTCAGAACGTATTTCTTGCTTTCTCATTTTCTATTTCATATTGTTCATGTCTAAGACCAATAGCTGCTTTCCAGGAACATGTAGTTGCTGTAATGGCAAAGTCTTTTGTTATGGATAAGAAGCATATGGGCAGTCTTTGTCTTATATAATTTAGCTGGATCTTTCATTAGCCTAGAGTTTTTTAGTTGAACTAATTTTATATTTTTAGTTGAACTAATTTTATATTGATATACATGTTTTGAATAAAATCAATTCTACATATCATTTTCTTGTCTTTCAATTTTAAATATCTAAGAGTAACCAGTGAATATGTTTGAACTCAGTAACCTGAAGACTATTACATGTCTAAGCTAATTTACTATTTATTGAATGTAGCCTTCTATAGTTGAAATGAAGTTGATGTAATGTGCCTGTAGACTGATAGGATCTTTGTTACCCACATTTTTATGACTACCTTAATTATGAGGGACTAATCTGCAAATTATTCATCTACTTGACAAAATTAACTTTTTGTTTTGTTTTTTGCCTACTTTAATTTCAATTATGCAGAGAGGTAGGAAGGCTAGAATTAGTAATACACACACTTTTCAGCAGATATTTTATCATATTCGCTGTTCATGTCTGTCGTTTCAAAATGAAATCTTTGAAAAGAACTTGCATTACCAAAGTTGTTAGGATGATAACCTGGGTTCTGGCAGTCCCTAACAAGCTAGGCTCAGTAAGCATCCTCAATTGGCCAATTAAAGATCAATACGAGCACTTTGGGAAGAGGTCCGGTGATCCTGCTTCTCAAGTCCATTTCCAGGGTTCTGACATGAGATTCAGGTCTAGAGGAAGGATGAAAGTTATATCACTAAGTAATTGGGAAGGTATGGTTCTCCTCATCACTGGCTGTCATTGTCTTGGCTCTAGCCTTCCTTGTAAGGTGACAAGGTGACAAGTGAGAACCAGATGGAGTATCTTCAGGGAGACAAGCTCCTCCAACTGAGACAAAGCTCCAGCCTTTTTTTCTTTTCAGCATAAGATTCCTGGGGAAGTTCCAATAGCTTGGAGTCCATTATTTTAATATTCTGATCACCCAGTGGAGAAACCCATTCATCCTCCTTTAGATTTTCTTCCCAAGGCAGAGAGGCATAAAATATCTGCTGATATCTGCTGGGAAGTTGAAGGAGTTTATTTACTCCATGGATTTTTTTCATATCAGAGTATAAAACGGGAGAGATTAAAAAGGCCTTCTTATCCCTAAGTTACAAAGGAACCAGAAGGGGAGGCTAAACTAAAGAAGGAGATGACATC